CCGCCACCTGCTCCACCCTCTTTAATTGCCTGTTCTCCTCCTTTGTCATACAATTCCCTTTTCTTTGCATCAGAGAGAACTTCGTAAGCTTGAGAAATCTGTTTAAACTGTTTGAGAAAAGAAAAATGAATTTTTTTTTAAAAAAAACAAGTGTTACCTAGCTACATTACACTTGATCTTAGCTAAGAAGACCGAGAAGTGATCATAATTCCTATATTAGATACTCAATTTCAGATCATAACAGAAATACTATACATCTGGCAATGAACTATTCAGATATGTTTAAGAGTATATACTACTCACCTTCTCTCCTTCATTTGGATTCTTATCAGGATGGTACTTCAAGGCCAGTTTCCTATAAGCCTTTTTCAATTCTTCCTGAGTAGCATTGGGTTTGACCCCCAAAACATCGTAGTAAGTTGTTTCTTTCACCATCTTCTACTGCCTGAAATAAGAAAACGCAACTTTAACCGGCTTTCAACTGGTAGTTTTTAATTAATAAAAATGAGAGCTAAGGCCGAACAATCTCTTTGCCAAATCCTATAATAAGAACACCACTTTCCCTACATTTCACCAAAAAGGTAACAATTCCTGGGATAATTCAGCTATAAACTCCAACAGACAAAACAAACTAATAATCATTACCGGGAAGGAAGTCGAGAGCCGCCTTCTAGCACCTGGTTCCTATTCTCCCACACCAAAGCTTCCATACTAATATAACACTATTAATATGGATTCTTCCCGTTTCCCCTAGAGGCGGTGACAGTTGTAACCAAAAGCAGCCCTGATATGGTCAGTCCACTGGTCATTGCACTATCACTGTCTTTGGTAAATCTGATAAACTCCATACACTTTCCAGAAAAAGACATCTGGGCACACAGTGGTGGGGGGAGAGGTTTATAAAACAGATTACCGGCTCCACACAGCAAACCCTCCACCGCCCACGGCTTACAGCTTCTCCACTTTCACGGCCAAATGCCTCTCGCCCCTCAGGCTGGCAGAGTTTACCTGCCAGGTTTCCCCTTGCACTTGGCGCCGACCGTTAAGATTTCCTTCTTTTCTCCCTCCCACCCTGGACCCAAGTGGCGGAGGGGAAAGCCCAGCCCTCAACAAAGAAGAGGAGGGGAGACAGAGAAAGAGAAAGCGAAAGCCGCAGCCTCCGCCCGGCTCCCCCCGCAGCCCCTTGCCCCTAGCTCTCTGTGCGCGTGCGCAGGGTCGCCAACCCCCCCCACCCCCCACCACCAAACAGCGAGCGCGGACGGGGAGGGGGGCCGCGGGGGCGCGCACGGACGGAGAGGCTAAGGCAGCAGCTCCTTGGAGATCCCAGGCTGGGTACGGAGGGAGGTCTAGGAAAGGTCTCGGGCCCATTCACTGTGCGTGGCGGGGACGGGTTGCCAGGGCACCGCACCAGCCCTCCAAAAGGGAAATCGTGGGCCCAGGAACTGACAACGCTCCTGCCCACGCGGCCAACGGCCTCCGGACCGCGGCTCCATCGGTTTCCCGGCGCCAATGGCGCCAGCCAGGGGACTGGGGAAAGCTCGAGGGCTCAGACTCACCGGTGCGGGCTGACGCCGGTGTGTGAGGGAGCGGGAAGGAGCGCGGAGCTGTGCGCAGCTCGGGCAGTTACCGCTCCTCCGCCTCTCACCGAGCGTTCTGGAAAGTTCCGCCCGGCGCGCCGCAGCCGTCGTCTTTTGTAGCCGAACCCTGGCGCGTCACCCGCCGGAAGTCCCGCCCCTCTCGGCCGCTGCCACCGCCCAGCGGTTACCTGGGCAACGGCGCGGGGGCGCACGGGTCGGGAGGAGCTGCGCCGAAAGGCCTTGTGGGGGTTGGTGCTAACCCGGCTTCCCGACGCTCGTGGAATCTTCTGGAGTCGTTTTCTCCACTCAGCAAGCCCGAGAGTGCGGAAGTCTCCGGCTGGTGGGGCATGGCTCAGGAGCAGTGCAAGTTCTAGGGTTCCCAAACCTGTGGGGTGGCCGCCTCCGCCCGCGAGGGCGGGAAGGGCTCGGGTACAGTGATCCAGCGGGAGCTGTGTGTGAACGGGGAAAGCTCTTGGAACAGTCTTGCCCCCCCGCCCACCCTCCTATGGGCGCCTCTTTCTGGGAACCCGCTGAGCAAGAAATGCTTGAGCCAGGTGGGTCTAGTCTCCAGACCGATAGCATACGCCTTGGGTCTTGTTGCTTTTCACGCGCGGTCCAAGGCGGCTTAATTCATCAAATAGTGAAGTTGTTAGGGCTCTTTGTGCAAGTCCAGGCCCCTAGACACATGTTATCTGTCCTGGACCTCGTTGACTCCTGCAGATTGAACGCAGAGTGTCTGGGACTGAGCTAATCAGTGAAACGTTTGAGCCGTCTTTTGATTCACGGAGGGCCGTGGACCTCTCTGGTCAGGTTTTCACCCAGTTTGGCTACAGAGTAGCAGCAAGAGTGTCTAAAACAATTTGTTTAATTATTTGACCTAACTTTTAAGTTCTACGGGTCAGTGAACCTGGATGTACACTCTGCAACGTGAGACCTTGGACTTTAGAATGGTACCACGGGGGCTTAATGGGAATTGGGGTTCGCTTCTTTATCCAGGGGCACAACAGAGAAGTCAGTATCTAGCACCAAGAAAGATGGAGTTTGCCAGGCTCAGTGACTCACGTGTGTAATCCCAGCACTTTGGGACGCCAGCGTGGACTGATTGCTTGAGCTCGAAGTTTGGTACCAGCCCCAGCAACATGGTGAAACCCCGTCTCGATTTAAAACAAAAACAAAACTGGAGATGCAGAGTTGAAAAACCCCAGTTAGACTTCAGTGAGAAGCCAACAAGTCAACAGACTGCCAGGGGAACCATGAGGTAGAAGTCAGTACGGAGAGTCTCCTATTAGACGTGATAGATCAGAGAGTTTCCTTGGGAAAAGTGGCAATTGAGCTGAGTTTTGAAAGTGGGAGAAGAGCAATGGACAAAGCACAGAGGAAGGCTATACTAAGGTTTGGAAGAATATAGTGTTTTTAGGAAATTGGAACTAATTGGATATATCCAGAGCTAAGGGAGCTAGAATAGCCGGAGGTGAGACTTCAGAGCTAGTTAGGGCATGCCTTTGTCTGTTGGTATATATGCTACGTTAAGAATTTTGAACTTTATCCTTGGAAGCATGCTCATGCTGCCTCTTCAGCCTTTCCTCTTTCATTAATTTTAACTGCATTCCAGTGACAGAACTATCTGTAGTTTCCCATATACACCTTTTCACCTTTGTGTGCTTTTGCTTTGGCTGACAGACACCTGATTTTTTTCAATCTTAGGTGTTGCCTTCTCAAGTATCACTTCTGGTATAACATTTTTAGTTTAAACCAACCCTTAGTAAACGTCTGATATTACCAGGCAGTGTACTAGGGCTTTGCAATACAAAAATCACGTAAATCAGGCCGGGCACCGTGGCTCACGCCTGTCATTCCAGCACTTTGGGAGGCCGAGGTGGGTGGATCACCTGGGATCAGGAGTTCTAGGCCCAGCCGGCCCAACATGGTGAAACCCCTCTCTACTAAAAATAGAAAAAGTTAACCAGATATGGTGGCATGTGCCTGTAGTCCCACCTACTCGGGAGGCTGTGGCAGGAGAATCGCTTGAACCTGGGAGGCAGAGGTTACAGTGAGCAGAGATGGCGCCACTACACTCCCGCCTTGGTGACAGAGTGAGACTGTTGAGTCTCAGGAAAAAAAAAAAAATCACGTAAGTCATGGTCCCTGCCTTCAAGCAGCTCACAACATAGGGAACCAGAAACAAACAGTTGAGTGTTAAATGCTAATAGAGGAAGAGTAGAGGGGTGCATGGTGGCTCAAGCCTGTAATCTCAGCACTGGAAGGCCTAGGCAGGCAGATCCCTTGAGTTCTGGAGTTTGAGACCAGCTTGGGCAACATAGTAAGACCGCGTTTCTACAAAAATTAGAGTTAGTGTGGTGGTGTGGGACTGTACTCCCAGCTACTTGGGAGGCTGAGGCAGGAAGATGGACCTGGGAGGTCAAGGCTGCAGTGAGTGATGATTGCACCGCTGCACCTCAGCCTGGGCGACAGGGCAATACCCTGTCTAAAAACGAAACTAACAAAAAAGTTAACAGTTTTAAGAAGCATTCTTATGTAAAATAAAAAAAAATAGCAATAACTTTGTGTATGGTCTTCGTTTGTATAGAAATGGGATCACACAAGCTTTTTACAACTTGCCCTTTTCACTTTGTCATCTTACTATGTTAGAATTATTAATCTACCTTGTTATTTTTAATGGCATAGTATGCAGGCACCATAATTCCCCTACTGATGAACATTTCAGCAATTTCCAGTGTTTTACAAACTGCTGCAGAGAAATTAGCAAATACAGCTTTGAGTACTCATGCAAGTATTTCTGTTGGATGGACAGCTAGAATTGAAATTGCTGAGTCAACATGAATGCAGATTTAAAATTGTAATAAATAAGTTTCCCTATTGGTTTGTAACTGCTTCCAGCAGTGTGTGAGTAGGCCTTGCCGGTATGAGGGATTCTACCTTTTGTTGTGAAAATCTTTGCTAAACTTGGAGATAAAAAGTGATATTTTATTGTTTCGAGTTTCTTTATTAGTAAGTTTAACCATGTTTTAAATGTTTACTGACTCTCCTGTCAACTGTTCATATTATTTTACCATTTTTCTGTGGTGTAATACCACTATTTTAATAGTAGCACTTTTAGGGATAGATATTAGTCTGTCATGTGTTACAATTATTTTCTTTAGTATATTGTTAGCTTTTTACTTAGTATCTATATATATATATTTTGGGGCCATATAAAGATTTTAATTTTTATGTAGGTAAGTTGTGACTCTTCCTTTTTGGTGTTTTTTCTCTCCACCTTCCCCTTCACCAGTCTAGCATTATAGATATAAATCTATTGTCCCAGGTTTACAGGTTACGTCTAGTACTTTCATTGTTTCCTTGTTTGTTTTTAATTAACAGCCTTGATGTGTTACCCAGGCTGGACTCGAACTCCTAGGCTCAAGTGATTCTCCTGCCTCAGCCTCTTCAGTACTTGGGACTACAGACACCTGCCACTGCATCTGGAATCATTGTTCTATTTTAAACTTACATTTTTTATTCCATCTAGAAGTTATTTTGCTGTAAGGACTGAGGATTATTTGTAAGTAACTGATCTTTATTTTTCTCCAGATGGCAAGCTAGTTTGTCTAATACTAATCTTATTTTTCCTGACTAATATGAAATGTGCCCCCTAACTTTTGTGTGTGTGTGTGTGTAGAGACAGAGTCTTCCCATGTTGCCCAGGCTGTTCTTGAACTCCTGGGCTCAAGCAGTTCTCCTGCCTTGGCCTCCCAAAGTGCTGGTATTACAGGCGTGAGCCACCACAGCTGGCCACCACTTTTAATGTATACTAAATTTCCACTGAAATACATAGTACTACTTCCCTTCATTGTTCTTGCTTTTTAGAATATTCCTTGCATTTTTTGAGTATGTTTATTCTTCCAGAGGAACTTGGGAATATTTCTGGCCGATTCCCCCCAAATCCCATTGTGAGTTTTATTGTGATTACAGTGATTTTATGTATCAGTTTGGAGAGAATTAACATGTTTAAAATGTTGAATCTTCCTACTTATGAACATATAACTGTATATTTACTTTCTTCATTTTTTAAACTAGGTCCTCATCATTTCTTCTTAAATGTGTTACTAGGCATTTTTTATTGTTGCTGTCATGGATGGCTTCTTTTCTTACCATTATATTTTTTTTCAGTGGGATACTTCATACTTTCTTTTTTTTTTTTTTGGAGATGGAGTTTCTTTCTTTTTGCCCAGGCTGGAGTGCAATGCAGCCATCTTGGCTCACTGCAACCTCCGCCTCTGGGATTCAAGTGATTCTCCTGCCTCAGCCTCCTGAGTAGCTGGTATTACAGGCATGCACCACCACGCCTGGCTAATTTTGTATTTTTTAGTAGAAACAGAGTTTCTCCATGTTGGCCAGGCTAGTCTTGAACTCCCAACCTCAGGTGATCCGCCTGCCTCGGCCTCCCAAAGTGCTGGAATTACAGGCGTGAGCCACCATGCCTGGCCAATAACTTTCAATGACCACATCGCCGTAAGTGTTCATAGAGGTAGCTGGAGATGGCTGGAGGCCTGGCAGGAGCCAAATAATAAGGGCTTGGGCATTATGCTAAAAAGTTTGAATTTTATTTTGAAGGCTCTTGAGAGGGATTTTAGGGATGGGGTGATATAACCTGTAACAGCTGACTTTTTGTTTCTTTTCTTTTCTCTTTCCTCATCTTTTCTCTCTTTTGTGAGGACCTGTCAGGTGCTGCGCTAAATACTACAAATGTTGCCATATTGTAATCCTTACAGTAACCCTTGTTTTACAGCTGATTTGATTACATTTCACAATAATCACTTGGGTGCTAATATGAAGGTTGGATTCTTAGCAGGTTTTTATGGTGAGCAATCAGATCAGAAGTGATGAGGCCTAAATAGAAGAAATGGAGAGGGAGAAAAATAAATACAAATATAAAAACATATAAAGTCTTCGGGTGGAGTCGTGGTGACCATGCATAGGTGGGGAGGAGGAGGAATGACTTCCAGCTTTCTGGCTTGAGCAACAGGATGGTTGGAGATGCCCTTCCTGGGATAGGGAGCCTAGAAGGAGGAAGAGGAGGAAGAGGCCAGGGTAGGAGCAAAATTGGGTGAAGGAAAAGGTGAGTCCAGGTTTGAGTGAGTAGAACTACAGCTATACTTTTTTCTTTAATTTAAAAAGAAAAGGAGTCGGAGCGGCGGCGGCAGGTCATGCGGGACGCGGTTGCAGACGCAGGCGGAAGCACCAACTGCGGGGATAGCCAGGGTGACCACAGCTGCCCCGGTGGCGCGGACACAGCGGCAGCTCCGGCCGGTGGAGCTCCCCCACCTCACGCCTCAGGTCCTGGCAGAGACGCCACGTCTGTGGCCAGGGGGCCAGGAATGCGGCCACACGTATTCACCCTCAGCGTGCCTTTCCCGACCCCCTTAGAGGCGGAAATTGCCCGGGGGTCCCTGGCTCCAGATGCTGAGCCTCACCAAAGGGTGGTTGGGAAGAATCTCGCAGTGAGCGGCAGGATCTTGGCCGTCCGCTGGGAAGCTGAAGACTGTCGCCTGCTCCGAATTTCCGTTATCAACTTTCTCGACCATCTTTCTCTGGTGGTGCAGACCATGCAGCACTTTGGGCCCCCCATTTCCCGCTAAGCCTGGTCTGGCAAAATGGGGCGAGGTCTAACCTTGCGTCTCCTCCTAGGCAGTACATCCATTCTTCCCTAGGGCAGGGAATTCCCATAGTTGCTACTTTCCTGGAAGGGCCTCATGGTCGGCCTGTACTGGCCTTAGGATACTCAGGGGCCCCTTGTTATATCTGGTTCTTAAATGTTTGTTACCACAGAAAATAAAACTGAGCTACTATTACAAAAAAAAAAAAAATTGATCAGCACAAAGTGGAAAGTAAATCCTAACTAAAATGCTGTTTTTTATGTTTGTATAAATTTAAATTTTTTGGAATATTTAGTTTTTAATTAGGGCCAGATTTTTATTTATTTATTTATTTTTTGAGTAGCACCAATTTGTTCTAGTTCTTCTCTTACCTCTCTGACTATATACAATTTCAGTCTTTATGAACTCTCCTTCATTCCTACCCCCACTCGCCACCCCTCATTTTTTTTAAACTAAACTTTTTATTTAAGAGTAATTTTAGATTTGCAGAAAAGTTGTCAGGGTAATGCAGAGTTCCCATTATCCAGCATTCCGTCTTCCCTATTGTGAAAATTTACATTAAAATGGTACAGTTCCCACAACTAATTAATCAACGTTAATACATTATTATTAACTAAAGTTCGTTCTTTATTTAGGTTTCCTTAGTTTTTCCCTTTTCTGTTCCAGGATCCCACCCAGGACACCACATTACTTTGAGTTGTCATGTCTCCTTAGTCTCTTCTTGACTGTGACAGTTTCTCAGACTTCACTTATTTTTAAGGACCTTGACAGTTTTGAGGAGTACATACTTTTTTTTTTTTTTTTTTTTTTGAGACAGAGTCTTGCACTGTTGCCCAGGCTGGAGTGCAGTGGCGCAATCTCGGCTCACTGCAACCTCCGCCTCCTGGGTTCAAGCGATTCTCCTGCCTCAGCCTCCCACGTAGCTGGGATTACAGGCGCCTGCCACCACATCTGGCCAATTTTTGTATTTTTAGTAGAGATGGGGTTTCACCATGTTGGTCAGGCTGGTCTCAAACTCCTGACCTCAGGTGATCCGCCCGCCTCGGCCTCCCATCTTAGTAGAGATGGTGAAACCTCATCTTTACCAAAAATGCAAAAATTAGCCAAAATGAAGTGGCACGTGCCTGTAATCCCAGCTACTCAGGAGACCGAGGCAGGAGAATCACGTAAACCCAGCAGGCGGAGGTTGTAGTGAGCCGAGATCGTGCCACTGTACTCCAGCCTGGGTGACAGAGCGAGACTTTATCTCAAAAAAAAAAAAAAATTAAAAATAAAATTTTGGTTTTGTGACTCCTGGCCAGAGGTCCTAAAACCCTTGACATTTCCTAAATGATGAAAGTGGTATCTTGTTATTCATAACAAACCCCTTTCAATCACATCTGAGTTTATATTAATGAAGTGACTTTTGGAGAGCCTCAAAGAATGGTGGGGAGGGCGGAAGGGGGGCGCTGGTTGCTACGGGAAGTAACCATGTGATTGGAGGGTTGGGACTTTCAGCCTCAAGCCATGACCTCCAGGGAGGAGAGAGGGGCAGGAGATTACCATTGGGCAATGACTTAATCAATCATGCTTACAAAATGAAGCCTCAATTTTAAAAAACCCTAACCAAAGGGGTTTGGAGAGCTTCCAGGTTGGTGTTGGAAGGATTGAGCTCCTGGAGAGGGCCTTTTGAAGGTCCCTATCCCTTCCCCAAACTGAGAAATGTAAAGGTTATTTCTAAGTTCTGTGAGCTGTTCTAGCAAGTTATTGAACCTAAGGAGGCGGTTGTGGGAATCTCTGTGTTGTGGTCTGAATGTTTGTATCCTATTGGACTTCATAAAATGGAAATCCCCAAGTTGATGGTATTCAGAGATGGGGCCTTTGGGAAGTGACTACGTCATGGGATTAGTGGCCTTATAAAAGAAACCCAGGAGAGCTTGTGAGTCCCTTCTGCCACGTGAGGACACAGCTCTGTCTACAAACCAGGAAAGAGGCCCTCACCAGACACCCATTCATCTGGTGCTTTAATCCTGGACTTTGCAGCTTATACAACTGAGAAATAAGTTTTGGTGTTTGTAAGCTCCCCAGTTAATGGCATGTTATAACAGCTCAAATACGTGAAGACACCCCCCATTCATAGCCAGTCTGTCAGAAGTACAGGAGACCCTGGACTTGCTGTTGGTATCTCAACTTGGGGGCAGTCTTGTGAGACTGAGCCCTTAACCTGTGGGATATGCAATAATGTTGGATAATTAGTGTCCGCACTGAATTAAATTGTAGGACACCCAGTTAGTGTCTGCAGAGAATTAGAGAATTGCTTAGTTTGAAGCCCCTCCACCCTTGACATTTGGTCCAAAGTATTATGAATAGAGGAACAGTTTTCTTTTTAGGCAGAAATTTTTGTCTGTTTTGTTTTATAATATATCCTAAGCATCTAGAACACTGCCTGGTACAGAGTTGGTACTCAATAAATTATGAATGAATACACATTGTGCCAGAATTTGTGCCAGGTACTGGGCATATAGTTGTGAAAAAGCGGAGATGGTGCCTGCCTTCTTAAAACGTCCAGCCCAGTACTACACAGTCCAGTGATTTTTCTGCCTGCCTGGGCTGCCCTCCTCTAACAAACATCAGAGTGCCTAACTGCTGAGCTCAGAGTAGACTTTCCTCTTAGCAGTACTTTTTGGATAGTTTTGTTGTTATGTTTTTTTTTTTTTAATTCTGAAAAAATGGGGGGAGAGTAATGCATTCTATTTAGTCACTCTAAGTTAAAAGTCTACAATTTTCCTCAATACTGAGACAAAATAGTGTTGTCTTTAAAGCTCCAGGCCTGGTAGAGAGCCGAAAGAAGTTGTGAGGTACATTTGGTTTACTTTTTCTTTCCCTTATTTTTTTAAACCTAAAGGAAGATGGTTGTAATGTTTTATACTACTGAAGAGTGAAAGGATGTACAGTAAACATGTTTATTGCTGTCTTTTTTGTAAACTGGAATGTTTTACGAGATCCTGACCTATTTCTTGAGATCTTCTGTGTGCTGTTTGTTGAAATGAATTTTTACATGGCTAAAACACTTAAGAAAAAAAGGAGCTAAAATTGAGTGCATTGAGAGATTATCTGCTGGTTCAGCATACTTCAGATGTTGTGTCAGCAACAGTACTTTCACCCTGTTCTTACATAGGCAATCACACCATCACAGGAAACTCCAAGGTATACCTGAAAAGTGGAAAGAATTCAGGAAGAATACTGCTGCACAGATATAAGACTAAACAAAATGACTTGTAATAGCCCTTCAAAATCTCAGACTTTTGGTCTAAATAATAGAAACTCCTAAATCCCATTTGGCATCATTTATTTAAAAAATTCTGTTGATAACATTTTGTGTATATCCATCTTCTAGATAATTATTTTAATTCTTCACCTCACTTTGTTGTCAAATGTATTCTAACTTGTTTGATATTTCATCTGAATTTCCTTCCCTGCACAAAAATTCAGATGCAGATGTGAATTGTTTTGCCCCATAATCTTGTCAGAAAAAAATTGATGAAACTATCATGGAAATAGCTTTGATTAATTACAGACAACTTCAGTGGTGTCCTATAAGCCCATGATATAACACCAAAATCTACTCTGTAAGATTAAAAAAAAGTTTTCTTGCATGCATGTGGCAGCAAACTTGTTTGAAGATTGGTGTGTTGTGACATCCTCAACAAAATACAGAACAAAAAAAAATACAGGCTGGGCGTGGTGGCTCACACCTGTAATCCCAGCACTTTGGGAGGCTGAGGCAGGCAGATCATGAGGCCAGGAGTTCAAGACCAGCCTGGCCAACATGGTGAAATCCTGTCTCTACTGAAAATACAAAAATTAGCCGGGCATGGTGGTATGTGGCTGTAATCCCAGCTACTTGGGAGGCTGAGGCAGGAGAATCACTTGAACGCAGGAGGTGGAGGTTCAGTGAGCTGAGATCGCATCATTGCACTCCAGCCTGGGCAATCACGTGAGGCTCCATCTCAAAAAAAAAAAAGAAAAGAAAATACAACTCAAGCAGTGATCCTTATGCAGGATCTTCTCTAATGCCTTTGATAATTAATAAGGCATTATTATTTGTGTTCCCACATCACCCAGTGTGCATACCTCCATCATAGCATTTATGCAAATATGTATACTGTATTATAAACATGGAAGGCAGTGCTTTCTTCCAGAAGGGTTCACAGCCACTTCTAAGGATACAACAAATAAACAGAGATAATAGACCCCAAGATGCCATACATTAAAAGTGTGGAGAACGAAGAAAATAAAAACACGGGTAGTAACAAAATGGAACCAGAGACAAAGCTAAAATGCACAGAAGAATGACCTTCACGTTTGCTGCAGCTGGGCCATGAATTTGTCTCTAAGCTGACAACCTCATTGGTCCCACAATTCATGATATCTGAAGATAAAACATAAATCCAGTACTCTGGAGAGGTAAAACTATTCCTGGAATGGAGATCAGATTGGAATGTCTCCCAGGGATGCTTATAAAGAGCACATTGTGTTATGTGAGGAGCAGTGTCCTTGACAGTATCCCTGACTGGGTGACCAGTGCAGAGGGATGCCTCTGATGGAAGCACAACAAAGGGCAATTTGCTGAGCTACAGCAGTGCTTCTAGGGTGACTGTCTTGGTGATCATGGCTTAACAATGTTTTAGCTCCAGCACCTAGTTTAGTAATTGGCATATAGCACGTGTCAAGAAGTGTTTGTTGAGTGAATGTCTAATGGACAAGACCCAGTTTAAGGACTCCCTCTAGGGCGACTCCCCTGATTACCAAGACCTGATGTTCTGCTCCCCAGCTATGCATCCTTTTATTAAGAACTGTAGCTCCCCAGCTAGGCATACTTTTGTTAAGGATGTCCTGCTCCCCAGCTAGGCATACTTTTGTTAAGCTGTTAAGTGGTACAGCTGTGGAATATTTATTCTGCTGTTGGGTTAAACTGCCATTTTCTACCACCTACCATGATTTCTAATAAAGTGCCCTTTAGATATTTTTGTGTTAAATTTCCCTCATCATCTTCAAATATGGGAGTGAGACCAGGGGTGTTTGTACATACTTGCTGGTGGTGGCTAGTGGTGGTGCGTCAAGAAAGTCCTGTACTTACCACACTGAGAGGTCAGTCCTCAGGTAAACTTATGAGTGCTATTTATTGGTTTAGAATCCTACATCCAGGTTGTCCCTCGGAGCAGAGGCAGGGCTGGTAATGGTGCCAGGGTAGACCTTTGCCATCAGTTTCTGTGCTGAGCATTGGGAAGACCTAGACACAGGCCACAGTAGTACCAGCATTAAAAGGGACTCTGCACTAAATTAGCAGCTACTGACTGGGGCTCTTTCCACTCCTCTTGGGAGATTGGGGTTGGGTTGAGTGCATAGGTTGGAGTTGTTATTTTTTGCTGCCGGAGTTAGAGCCCTAGAGGTGAGGCCTGATGTAAAAGTCCTTCTTCCTGGTGGTTGCCCCGACCTGTCATTACTGACTTTCATCTCCCTGTTATCACTCACATTGAAAAGGCGTTTTGAAGCAGGATCTTGGTCCCATGAGCAGCTTTCTACCTGCCTAGTCATGATG